AAAAAAAATTCTAATAACACAAGTCACGTGCCAATTAGCACTTCCGGAATTCGCATCAAATAAAAATATCCACTGCACAGTTTTCATTTTTAAGTTTCTATGGAAACCATTTAAAAATTCCTCAAGCATGCACGTGGTTTAATTGCTAACTCGTCCCAAGGAGTCTAAAAGAACGTGCCGTAAGGGGGAAAAGGGACTGCAATGTATGATGGTCAGGAGAGAAAGAAGATGAGAGACCTTCACATCCATCTTCCCATCATACCCCGCTTCCCAGGTCGCAGTGCCTTGTCGCGCGTCAGCGATGGAGTCTTGGGACGAATCAGGTAAAAATTCATGTCAATGCCAATTGGAGCAAACGTTACTTGCTTTTCCTTATCATATAATGTAATTAGCAAAGGCAAAAATAAAAAGCATTTTTAAAGAATTTGTACATAAATTATTGCACCATAGAATAAAGCTGGTGCATTATGTCTTTGATCCCCACGACTGTAAACATAAAACACGTAGGAGGGGATATTGAATTTCAATAACTTCAAAATTTTGCACTTTTAGCTTAACGATTATTTCCATTTAAGTAATTGAATACTCTAAAGAAAGTCTCTTTTGAAGAGAATAGTCTTTTCGTGAACTGAACTTGAAAGAATAAATTGAAAGTCTCGTTCAAATAGACAGTTTTTTGTTTGGTAAAATCATATAAACACACTTAACTTACAAGAATAAATTTTAAATTGTCTTTGAATAGAATATTTTGTTTCTTAAAAGCATATAATCGCACTTGCATTAATAAACTGGATCTTTTTACGAAAAATCAAATTTATAACATGATGATAGCTACTGTTTTCCCTAATGGAGAGTGCGAATCCAAGAACTATGCATCTTGAAAAACTTAGAGTTAAATCAATCAGAAAGGCTTAAAATATATCGAAGTCAATAGTGTAAGATATCAGACTTCTTAAAATGTTTTTAATTTAACAAATGACGCTTTTTAGCCTCAAGCAAATCAAGCCCGGATGTTTCAAAGGACACCTTGACGTCAATCCTTATTAATTAAATGCCAATTTTCCATCTTAGTTACGTTAATAATATTTTGGATGTTAGAAGAAGAGATATTAGTGTCACAATAAAACAAAGACTTCTCAAAATAAATGAAAAAGTTTCATAAATGTCAGGAAGCAATTAAGTCGAACATGTCATATTTGAAAGGTTTTTTACGTACAACCAATATTTGCCCACAGTTCCGTTCAAACTCAAGATGAAAAGGGGTAGCTTCGAAGCGTTCACATGCACAAATCTGTCAATCAAAAATCTTAACTTTGTACGGCCCCGGTCTCCGACATAAAACCTTTCCAAACTCTTTATCTTATTCCGCTGCTGAGTTCAACGACCAATTTATCGATCACTGACAAATCTTCATTCGCTAAAAATTTACATAATATTCAGAGTGACAAAAAATTAATTTTCGCCATACTTCAGGTTTCTATTTTCAAAGGACCGTAGTAAGGTTTTTCAACTAGGTAAAGCAGCTATCCTTTTTATCCTTTTTCATCCGAATTAATTTCAAAGCAGACTGAACTGCTGTAATAAAAAATCTCACACAAAAGGCAATGCTACTCTCTCCAGGGTTAAAACAATTGAACTAATCATATCAAGCCGGCTTGGTCCCGTCTTATACTCCCTAACGATACAGAATGTATAACCCTTGCCTGTGGTTCGAAATGTAGTTTAAAAAGTTTACTCTAGTTTGTAGGATATGCATCCGTTATTTTGGTAATTGATGGAAATATTGTAGGGATTTTTCATTTCAAGTCCGCTCCTGACTCTTTAACCTTACAAGTGACTATATCATGACTGTATCATCTAATCTCTCCTTATATCATCGCCACTGAATAAAGCATTAAGGAAATGATCGCCTGCTTAAGTACAACTTGATCGTTAATCATATTCTCCCTATCGCTATCAAAGGAAACGTGTAAAGAGAAATGTGGAGAATTTGCAAGTTAATGTTAGGGTATGGAGGTTTAAAGGTGCGATGAAAACATAATGAAATTGTGCTTACCTCCTGTAATCCAAAGGAGAATATTCCCTCAAGGAAGTCTTGTTTTGCTGACCTGGTTACACACATTATTGGGATGTTATTGTCTCCTTTAAGAACCTGAAAATATGACCAGGAAAGGATTCTTTTACGAATTGACGTAGAGCATCTCTTTTCCTAATATCAAACTATTGATTTACTGACCGATTTAATGACTAGCTGAGTAACTGGTTGACTGATTAACTGGATGATTGACTGACTAGCTGACTGGTTGACTGACTGGGTGACTGACTGGCTGACTGACTGACTGGCTGGCTGGCTGACTGACTGACTGGCTGACTGACTGGCTGGCTGACTGACTGACTGACTGACTAGTTGACTGACTGACTTGCTGACTAACTGCTTGACTGACAGACTGACTGACTAACTGACTGACTGGCTGGCTGACTGACTGGCTGGCTGGCTGACTGACTGGCTGGCTGGCTGACTGACTGACTAGTTGACTGACTGACTTGCTGACTGACTGCTTGACTGACAGACTGACTGACTAACTGACTGGCTGACTGACTGACTAATTGACTAACTGACTGATCGACTGACTGACGACTGTTAGACTGACGGACGGACGGACTGACTGATCAATTACTCATCAGCCCGATTGTTTTACTGGCTATCTAAATATTACACTGATTAACTTCTAAATGGATCGAATGAATGACTTTTGACTGCTGTCTCTGGCGTGACAAGTTGAAAGGTAAACCTCTCTGCCACAACTTACCTGTCCCTCGCCATGCTCGTAGACTGTTATTTTAATCCTAGCTTCTCCCTGAATGGCATCAATCAGTTGGTCTACTTGGAAACCAACGACTGACTCATCAAGCGGGGTTCTCGGGACGCTATGATGTATGGGAAGACAAAAGTAGGAAAAGCGAATAAACTGAAGAAATTGAAATAAAGCAATGACTACCTAGGAACTCCCAGATAAATCAGAGCGTTTCGCTCTTAAGACCTCAAAAGTAATTCTCCCTACTTTTTCTAATACATTTTTATAATAATAGTTCAGAGAAATTGGTGCAGATCAAAAGAAATTCTTTAGTTGGTTTATATATATTTATCCTCAACATTGGTCTGCTTGACGGCCTATGATGTAATTAGGAGAAATTACGTTTTGGTCAATGCTGCGGGAGAAAGGGTTTGACTGTCCGGTCTATTTGGTCAGATTCTTCTTTGACTACATGAAAGCGCCTTGAGGTGTCTCAAAGGGTTTACCATTCTGGATAAACTCTTACCTTTCTGCTTTCTGTGAAACAGCTGCCGGGGTGTCGGAACGGGGAGGGGGAGGGGAAGGGGGAGGAACTGACGGGGGTGGGGGTGGCGCTGGGGCAAAATTTTGCGAGCCGTGGTTGACGGACAGCGTAGAAACTTGAGGAATGACGCGAATGTTCTCCTAAGGTGGAAAAAAAATTATACATAAAATTGTTTATTACAATAATAAACAACGATCAAAAACACTTTTGAAAAGACAATCCTGCTAATAAAAAAAAAGTAAAACCAACACGTAACAACTGGGTAGAGAGAATTCAACAGGATTACATGACACAGCGTTTTTAAAATGTGTGTTGAAAGTAAACAAAAGTCTTTGATTTGTGTAGAAAACTTGCACCAACTCATCTACCGCTGAAATACAAAACTGAAACCGACAACGACTAAGGAACTCCTATTTTCCCGCGCTACACGCAGGTGACATGTTTTAATTTTGGTTTCTCATTGGCTCGCTGTGTTATTTTTCTTTCAGCTGATTGGCCATCATCAGCACTTTGATCTTGGTTTTGAATGCTCTATACGATGGCTTGGGGCCGAGTTGACGTTGGCATAAATTTCCAGTGCAGTTTTACATTTTGTTGTTTTAATTTTCAGTTACAGTTTTGGAGAAGGATTCAGTTATACACTGTTTATAGCTGATGTGTCTTACCACTGATGGATATTTGTACAAATGATGTTGGACAGGCTGGGGATTCTGTGTGTCTTGCGAGGGTATGTCGCGACTGTTCACAAGCCTGAGATAAAGCTCTGCCTGTCCGACCTTAATGATACAAAAGTCAAATCAAATTTAACGAACTAGTTAATATCACCTAAAGCCATTTATACACAGTTAATCCACTAAACCCTAACATCAATATCCACATTCTCCATACTATTCTCCATACATTTCCTAAGGTGCTGACGGGGAGAGTTTGTTTAACAGTCAAGAGATTTGTTCTCCTAACCTTCATGTGTAATTTAGGGATGATATTGTAAGGAGACTTTAGATGCTAGGCACTCTTAAAGGGTTAAAGGCTGAATAAAACTGCCCAATTTATCTCCAACTTGACAGGAAACCACAAAATACTAATTTGGTAAAGGAGAAAATAATCAGAAAAGGAAGATTACAACGAAACATAAAACTTATCTGTTAAAGGATATTAACAAACCAGCCCAGAGGCGTACAGGCAAAAGAGAAAAAGACACCAACCTGGGGTATCATGTTAAGTTCATGGGTGCTAAGAAATGCTTTGATTGGAGAGATTCTGATCGGGATCTTCCACCTGGAACACAAACAATAAATTGGGATTCCATAAAATAAAAGAAAAAACCCACTGAAATAATTATGAGAATTATATATGAATTTTCGTACCTTCCACTGAGCAGTCGGTTGCTCATGTCAAACAAGTCAATTCTAGTCCACCCCTTTGAAAACAGCTCATTTGGGTCATTAGAGTCCTCAGGACTGTTTGCTTGAAGCTCAACAACAAGGCCGAGATTCTGATCCGGCATACATCTAAAGATACAGTAACACAGGTGCTAGTAAACAACAGGCCAAATTCTGGTCATGTGCGCCAAGCGATAAAACGCATCGAAGATTTTACCTTGGAAATGGATGCTTTACACCAATAACTCCTGCTCCACCAGGGGGGATTGTGGGATGGCTCTGTCGGGTGATGACTGTTGTTCTAACAATTGGTAGCAGTTTGACGTCTGTCGATATATCTGCCCCTTGATACACCCCAGCAGCGAGTCTACATCTGGGAAAGGACGTGCTCAGGCCAAGAACAAAATCCCAGAATACGGCAAACCCAGCACTGTAAGAAGAATATTACATCATTAGCCATACTCTTCTCTACTTTCCTGTATGTACAGATTTCAACTTTCTCATTTTGAAAGTGAGGGCTTTGGAACTCGTGAATGAACTTGAAGCCAAATGAAACGATGGAGGACATTGAATTAAAATTATTTGGGCTACCTACTTTGGATCGTAAGGACTCGGCTGCAATTCCTTGTCTGTGCTTGTGTTTGTTAATATAAATGGCGACTCGAACGTCTGTAGTTTAGAATGTAAAGCAATAGGTCAGTGTGACAGACACTCGCAGTAAAATCATAACACACGTCTCCTAGTTGATCTTTAAACCCAAGATCTGATTGTTAATTCTCCCCTCTAGCTGCTACACATTTCCTTGTAAGAATTTGGTGTTAGATCAGGATAAAAACTTCTACCAGATTACAGGAGTTTAAGTATCTCATTACCTGTTTCCTGAATAATTTAGGGATATTACAGGGAGAAGTTACTTGCTAATCACTTCTGGGAGGAGCAATAACATTTAAACAAGAGCTTCGGCTCTCAAAATAACTGATAATTAATAGCGTAATCAAATATGCATTCGAATGTCTAATGTAATACCTGCTGTAGAAAGCGTCTTTGCATTGTCACTGTATTTTAGGAAATTTCTAATTTACAGCCACACGCGCGAAATTAGTGAGTGACACGCGTGCGATTCTCACGTCCTGCAATATTCGCAAGCAATACAGTTGCTGTGAGTCCAAAGAGTTCACTTGAAAGGAACACGTACAAACCTTTCTATTCCCTTCCAGTGGTATTATGGTCTCTCCTCTAAGCTCTTTCAGTTGTTTTCTCATCTTCTCCACCTCTGCCTGTTGCTTCAAAAGCTCTGTTTCTTGTCTAAGTGATGCCATTTTCACCAAGTGCTCTTCTTTCAGTCGTTGGAATTCAGGATCCACCTCTGAAGAAAAAGATCAAAAGCAAGTGTCTCAACTGTATCCAATGTATGGAAAATGAGACTCAATGAGAATAAAATGGCTTGCTCAAGAATTAAAGGCATAATGACTCAGCCAGACCTCCAACAAGGATGTCTCTGTCCAGAGTCCAAAGCACTTCAGACTAAACAGAGCTTGTGTTACTACAGTAAGATACATAAGTAAAACTAATGTAAAAATAAAAGGTGAAGTACCTGGTGAACGCTTTCTTTCCTTCTGTCCTCTCTCATCCTACAACAAATTTAGTGAAAAAGAAGAAGAGTACTTTTTTTTCATATGCAGTAGAAGTTACACAAAGAGATTAATTATTCAAAACTTTATGATTAAGCCAGCATCTTAAGTTTAAGTATGTATCAAACCATTTCTTACCCTTAGAAGTTGCAGTTCTTGTTCAAGTCTCTGATTGGCCAAGTGGAAACTCAGAATTTGCTGTTGCAGGAATGGATCTACAGCTTGTTTTGGCAGTCATGTAGAGAAGGATAGAGTAAATGTGAGTTAAACAGCAGCAAGTTTTGCTTTTATAATCCTTTTACAAACATACATATGTATCTGTACATATGTATGTTTGTAAAAGGAATATATTCGCAAACAAGAGAAATACAAAGTGTAGATTAAATGATTTGCTAGCCAGAAAGATGCATTGCAGTAAATACACATCTGTTCAGCTGTTCAAGTACAACTTAGGAAAGCCCCCAGGTAGAGTGCACAAATCAACAGCAACTACATAAAAGTGAAACCTCAATTTGGGGGATAAAATGTGTCTCCTGAATTGAGATGCCTCTTAATTATAGCCTGGGAGCAGGGCTTTGCAGAAGCAATTTTGCACCCAAAGGAAAGTATGAAGCCTTAGGCAATGCAAGCCAGCAAGAAGCTTGCAAAGGGTCTAACACTGATAATGCCAGATCCCCATCAAACCTCTCCACAACCCATCTCAAATCTTCCCTCTGCCAGAGAAACACGAGTCCTATAGTGCTAATAATGATGACCTACATGTACTTGCAGGTTACTTTACTTTAATCAAGGTAAGAGACACCAAGGAACCTCCAATCAGGGGGCACCCTTAGGACTTGTAAAAGTGTTCTCAGAATGGAGGTTTCCCTTCAAATAAAAGGTAATGGAACTATTTTTTTAAGCTGGGATCAAAGTTTGTGTCCCTTATTTATTAAATGGAGACGTGCCTTAAATAACTGACAAGAAAATGTATGAAGTCTACTTAAGCAGTGGTGAAAATAAGGCTTGAAAAAGATTCATCCCTGTGCGAGATTTGAACCCATGACCTCTGTGATACTGGTGTAGTGCTCTATTGACTGAGCTAACAAATGTATAACAAATGTATATCAATCACAAGAGCAAATATTAAGTGAAAAATATTCATTGTCTTTTATACCTTGTGGTCTCTGGGTAGCTTGCATTCTCTGGGCCTCATACTCTAGATCTCTTATCTGTGCAAGTATTTCTGGATCATGGCCTCCCCTTTGAAAGTATTCATTCTTCAGCATACTGTGGACAAGAGCACACAAGTTCTCATCAGCTAATATAAGGAAGATATGTGTAAGTTGGGAAACCACGTCTCTGTTTACTCTTACAGTGCTGTACATGTAGTTTCTGGACATGTATTTGATTTCTCTTGGTTTCACAATACAATAATGTGTAATGTGTAAAAAATGAGGCCATGTTTGCCCATTCTACATGTAAATACAGTAAGATAACTCTGATGACTTATGGAGACTGCCTTCGCCCAAATCTGGGCACAGAATTCTCAGGGCTATGATAAAGTTACAAAGTAGTCAGCTGAGTTGATGAAGCTAACTCCCAGTACTACTCAATTTAGGTGCTGGACAAGTGATGAAAGCAGATGCTATCCATGGGATCTGGATGGGGAATACTTTGCCAAAAAATGGCCAAATTTAGGCATTCCAAAATGATATTTTAAGTGATTAAAATCTGGAAAAGGACTCACTTAATTTCATGCAAGATATTGCCCCGCCCAAGTGGTACTGGTCCAGGCTCAAAATATTGTACTGGTGGAGAATGATATGGCACAACTTGGCCTGTAAAAGTAACAAATAAAAATATTTTAATATATAAATAAGCTACCTGTACACATTAAGATATTATAGACCAAAATCATTTTAAGTAGAATTATAACAGACAGAAATCTTGGTTAATTGTAACAAACAGTTAATTTTTTTGTTCATGTGTGGTTACTCTGCAGTATACAGTACCTCTTCCATTGGATGGCTCCTTCAAAGATTTCCTACAAGAAAAAAAACCAAGGAAAAGGTAGCACTAAGCTCTGAAATGTAATTGAAGTACATGTATCTGCATTGTGTCTGTGATATGCTGCAGTCTACCTCTCATAAATTGTATCTGCCTCTCCTGTTGTAAGTAGGGAGGCGCAGTGGCCTCATGGTTAGTGCGCTTGACTCCGGATCAGGTGGTGTGACGGTTCGAGCCCTGGCCGGGGTCATTGTGTTGTGTTCTTAGGCAAGACACTTTACTCTCACAGTGCTTCTCTTCACCCAGGTGTACAAATGGGTACCAGCAAATATGCTGGGGGTAACCCTGTGATGGACTAGCATCCCATCCAGGGGGGAGTAGCAATACTCCTAGCTGCTTCATGCTAAGAAAACTGGAGTTAAGCACTGGCCCCATGGGCCCGTATAAAGGCTTTACTCCTACTAATCACCTAGTGTAAGTATTGTTAAATATGCAGAGTAAGCTAATTATTAATCTAAAATTCATATTGCAAGTAGTGTAAGCGTCACATAATTTGTATGTAAGCTAACTTAATCCTTTTGTAAGTAGTCTTTGACACGAGTATCGATATGTATTAGAAACAACAGGGGTAGTATTGTAAGTAACTTTAGCATTGTTAGTATTGTAATTACTGCAAGTGTTTTTAAGTAGTGTTAGTAATGCACTGTCGTATGTAAGTTGAAAATTAATAAAGACAATTTTTGGTAGTATGTGAAATACTCTAAGCAGTAAAACCCCAGGCTAAAATAGTTAAATGTATGAATAATAGATGGTACCTTGGATGTACTGCTTGCAATTCTGAACCCCTTAAGTAATCAGCTGTAGCACTTTGAGGTGGTGATCTGGGTGAAACTTTCATTACATTGGTCTTAGATTGCTGAGCATAGAAATTTCTCCTGGGAAAATAAAAACAGGAGTTAAGAAAATCATCCAGGCCTGAGGGAAAGTAACACATATTCAAAAATAAAGTCACACAGGAGTTTCAAGACTTTTCTAACTTTTCTTCCTCTTCTTTGAATTCCAAATATCTCTTGAGTCCATCAAGTTCTGTGGCTTGTTGTTTCTAAAAAATTCAAGGAAACAATATTTTAGGCAAATAACTCAGCAGCAGCACATGTTTGTGTACACAAGCACTTCAACAAACACACCAGGAAAAATTGAACGTAAGGGAAAAAGACAAAGTTACATCACAGTCACACATGTTTTGCTCAGATTCATCTTTCTCTGTGCCACAGTGATTACAGTATTTTGCATTGGCATATATGTGTATGATAAATGACATTTGTTGGGCAAAAAAAGACAAAAGATCAGCAATAAACACAAAACTGTGGTCCTGACAGACAGAGGAACAATGAGTTCCAAGCATCTGGCTCCATTTGTTTGAAGGTTGGATAACACTTTCCACTGGATAAATTTCCGTCTGGTGGATAGTGTGGTATGTTTTGTTAACACTTATCTGCTGGATAGTTAGTTATCCACTGGATAGTGTTATCTGCCTTGTGAATGACTAGACTCATGGTTCAATGCGACAGTTTTAAAGCATACCTTTAGAAATTATAGATTAATACTTAAATTAAAAACAAAGTAACAGCAATCAATAAAGTTCATACCAGACTTCCCTGAGATGGAATTTTTTGTCTACTTCTTATTCCAAGAGAATTCAATCTTTCAGCAAGCCCTGGTAAGTGACAGTAAATACACACATGAATAACTTAATCCTTGATTTAAAATTGGTCCAAGTAAGATAGACTTTCTCAAAATCTCTTAACTGGATTTATAAATTCAATTAATTCATCATTTATGACAAAAGGTAAGCTCTGATTGCTGATGCTCATGAAGATAAATTGATATGTATTGCGTAACAAAGTTTATGTATTACTAACAGAGATTCAGAGAGAAATAAATTTCTTTACTTACTAGCTTTCTCTTCCTGAAGTTTCTCATTCCTCAGTTTAAGTTCGGCAAGCTGCTGCTGATGAATTTCAGTCAATTTCCCAATCCTGTCATCACTTCTGTCATGATCGTAATTGCCTCTTCTTGATGTCTGTAATAAATGTTTGAACCCTTAACTTCCATGAGAGACCAAAACAGAATTTCTCCTTACAATATCAATATGATATCAACCAGATAAGTGATGAGAATAGAGAAAATATCAATTTGGGGATAATTTGTTGATCCAATACTAAATTATCTAAATTAACATTAGAAGAATTGTATAGTTGACAGTAAGGAGAATTATATTTTTGATCTGGGAGTTAAAGGATTAATACAATAAACCTGGATTGTTCATTGCTCTGAACAGTAAGCTTGTTCTGTCATGTTTATTGCAGTGAATTCTGTAAGTTTATACACAGCAATCATTTAAAAGAGAACACATTTCTCATGTTATACATGTAGCCTGAATTTTACAGAAGAAAACCCAATAATATAAAATTATCTTGGTCTTCAAGTAATGTACCTGAAATTGCCTATCTTTGATGCTGTCCAAAGAAAATTTTTCCTCTAAGTTCCTTGAATTTCTCTGCATATGATGAGCCTTGAACCTTTTTAACTGGTCAATCTTAAATACAGAAAAAATAATTATGACAGAAAATGATTATAAAAGATTGACAGAGTGAAAAGTATTCATCCAAGATTTTTACTATCATTATTTAATTGATTGCCAATAGCAATAACTCTGTGAACCCTGAGAGTGACTTTCATAATTAAAATTCTCCCTACAATATCACCCTCAAATCATAAATTAAGGTTATAAGAATAAAGGAAATGATCACCAACAAAAAAGCTCTTGATTGTTAAAGAAATTCTCCTTGTCAGCACCTTGGGATATGTATAGAGAAAGGTATAGAGAATATACATACTGATGTTAAGGTGTAAAGGGTTAATTTATTGGATAAAGTATTACACCACTCATAAAATGCTTCAGTACATTTTAATTTCCTTTTTAATTTTCCATGCTCAACTAACCTTTTCTTTTTCAAGAGCTGTTATACCATCATATTCTCCAGAAGGTGTGTTTGGTGCAGATTGACGACGCAAGGAATGATTTTGGCTAGAAAGAAACATCTGAATAAAGGAATCAAACAAATGTTTAGTTTAGGTTTCTTTACCTCTCATATTAATCAAAAGAAAAAATATTAAAAAATATTATTTATTATTATCATCACATTTGGAAAAAAGTAAAAAAAATCTGAGTTCCACTCAGAGAAAAAAACCTAAGATCTCTGGATTTTGCCAGATCCAAAGATCTAAGATTCAAGTCTTCATCCTCCTTCATTCAACTGCTGCACTCAAAATGTACCATCTTTGTTACTCCTCTCTCTGATAATGATTAAAAAAAATTGTACATTTTGAACTATACTCACCCTACTCCTATCATTTCCTGGATGTACACTGCTGATATGTCTTGATGGAGTATTGGGAGCAGAATGAACTGAAGGCTTGATATATGGTAATGGCTGAGATCAGATAAGAAGAAACTAATAATTGTAGACATTTTTACCATGCAGTTTAATACAAATATTCAACTTCATATAACAGTGTCTCTCAGAAATAACACATAAAAAAGGCTGGAAAATTATAATTTCAAAGTTTTAAAAACAATGCTTAATAATGCATATCAAAATTGAAAATCAGAACTAACTTAGGTTATCATCTTGAGGAATGTCAATAGGATAACAGAATCATGATTATGCTCAACATCCCCTCGCCTTAACCTTCCAAATTTTCTACCCACCAGGAGGGTCTGTGGACTTCACCAGTCCCTTGATCTTCACTGTTAGAGACAAGCTATGGCATTACCCAGCCAGGAAATTGAGAACTGATATCCCTTTCTTTTGGGTTCTCTATCCCTGGGGTTCCTTCTCATGGTATCCCTTCCCCATAACCTTCCGGGAGTTTTGGCCAGCCTGGAAATTAGGAACTGATATCCCTTTCTCTTGGGTTCTCTATCCCTAGGGGTCCTTCCCATTGTATCCCCTCCCCATTACATTGCAGAAGTTTTAGCCAGCCAGGAAATTAAGAACTGATATGCTTTTCCCTGGGGTTCTCTATCCCTGGGGATCCTCTCCCTCTCGTTCCCCTTCCCTTAACATTCCAGGAGTTTTGATCAGACTAGTAAAAGTAGAAACTCGATGCTGGCATACACCCAGAGAATATCAAATTCAAATTGATACTTGTCAACAACCAGCACATTTACTGCTGTTTGCTTGTGATAATTGATACGTCTACTGTGTGAACATGGAAACATGGGATATGTAGCCTTTTTGACAGCAAGGTATATATACCCTTGCAACAAACCAGCTGACTTACAATTTGGAATTCTTGTCTGTCTCTTCTTTCAGTGTTACTCCCACCTTTACCAGAAATTCTCGAATGAATACGAGCAGGATCCACACTGTTTCCGAAACAAAACTTCTTCTTGTGAGTATCAAACAACTGTTCAGTCTTAAATGTCATATTACACTCCTTGCACTCCCAAACCATCTTCCTCGGTAGAACAGCAAGAAATATTTCAATAATCGCTAATCAGATGTGCATTCTTGAGATTTTTGCCCATAGGTTGCTCTCTTACTGAGCAAACAACGGTCATCGTGAACCAGTTGTCAAGGTAGATTAAGTCTGCGGGAAATATTACACATTTTGCTTTAGTGCATCACATTGCAAGCAGAGAGTAAGATTCATTTCTGTCTAGGATGCAAAAATTTGTATAGACATCTGGTTCATTTTCTCGCTTTTAGAAGCCAAACAAATAACTGTTCTCCATGTAAAACTTGTTTAGACAGTAAACACAATTTCCACCACAAACTACAGCTTTCGGTCAGCGGTGACATGACGTACCTACCGCTAGAACCCTGTCCTTTTGCGCTCTTTGTAACGCAAGGACAGTGACAGCAATGACAATCACCAGCCAACACATACGCAGTTCATTCTTGCACGTAAACATGAAGGTAGCTTACAATTATTTTTCTCTGTGTGCTTTTGTTACGAGCTTGATTTCTCATGAAGCATGGGTGAATGGCAATCTATATGACCCACACTTGTTTCCAACCGAAGGTCCGTTCATGGAAGGATGGTATTCGCGAATCATGGATCTCAGCTCGAATCATTCGTTCGGAGTTTTGTTCGGTCAAGTTCTCATGCAAAAGAAAGGCCTTGAGTTTGGTCATTATCCGCAAAACATGGTCTCGATTATACACAGCAAAGGGGATGGACGAACCATGGAAAGCTTCGCAGTTTATCCTTCAAACGAAGACATCGAGGTCACTGTTAATGGCAAGCCTGTGTCCAACAATCCAGATTTCAAATCTCCTGCGAACTTCGAATGGAAGGCAAAACCCTATGGCTACTTCAGAGTGAATGAAAACGAAACGAGAATTAATTTTACGAACGTGGATGGTGTAAGTTTTATTGGTGTTTTAGGACCCCCCAAACCATGGGGCCCTAACGGGGAGGGCCCAGAGGGCTGGATTGATCACCTACCCTTCCTTCCTCTTCATTGGTTTGTTTACAGTTTGGGCTCTGAGCTCATTAACTATAACTGGGTCAATGAAAAGTCTGGAGAGTTGTTACGAGGAAATCAGGGCCTTGCACATCAAGAAAAAAACTGGGGCAAAAGCTTCCCACCAGCTTGGATTTGGGCAGAAGGAGTTGACGACCCTTCATGTTCCTCCTTTGCAATATCACTTGGAGTCCTTAGCATAGAAACATTTGATGTACCAGCCCATCTGATTGGCTATCGTAGTGCAGCAGCAACACTTAATTTTAAGCCAACAAATTCTTTGGTGACAACAAAGCACATTGATGGATGCAGTGGAAAAATGAATGCCACTGTAACAAGCCTTGGAAACAAACTTGAATTTGAAATAGAGACAGCACCATCAACTTTGGAAACATGTCTTCTTGGACCCACTTTGGATGGCTTTGCTCCAGTGTGTGTGGAGAGCTACACTGCAATTGCTACTTTCCATGTGTACAAGATGACCTTGTCTGGATATGAACTCATTGAATCTAAAACATTTAACAATGCTGCGCTAGAGTTTGGTGGCTTTTATTTGTGCCAAGAAAAGAGCCCTTGCCAGCTTGAGTCAAATGGGATGGCATGAGTTCCAATATAAGTCTTGTGAGATGTGAGGTGAAAACTAAATTCTCTTTCATAGGAAAGACACATGTTTTGCAAAAAAAATTATTCCATTTGATACAGAAACAGGGCAAAATAAAAGTTATTGTAGGTGAGGGGAAAATGGGAATTTTGTATCAATTGCATATAATTTACAATATACCTTTATTAAAATATTATTTGAAAGGGAATGTTTGGAACTGATCAGGACCTGAACTCAAATTTCATTGATAGGAACAAATGTTTGACAAATTTCTTACTCTTAAAAACAAAATGAAATGTGGTACTATCAGTATCACATTACCATTTACAAATTATGAGAAAAAGGTGCTATTTTATGTTTATACGGGTAACCAGGAAAAAAAATAAAATCCAGTTTATTACACTGTGGAAAAAGAGGAATTCTATATCAATTTCATATTATTTATATTACCTTAAAATATTATTTTGAAGGGAAGGTTGACCTGACCTACTCAGATTTTTCTTTTTATGATTGGGACTAACTTTGTAACAAATTACCTATTCTCCTAAAAAAAAAAAATTTATATTATATTTTATTATACAGTTTTGTTATCACCTCATTATGTATTTCTATTGTGTGCAAAATTATGAGTTTATCTTTATTAACCCTTAACTCCCATGGGTGACCAAGAGAGAAATTCTCTTTACAGTGTCAGTGCAATATTAAGCAGACAAGTGATGAGAATGAAGAAAAATAGCAATTAGGGGATTTTTAGTCAATCCAATGCTAAATTCTCCAAACTAACAACATAAGAATTATATGGCAGATAGTAAGGAGAATTACTGATGAGATCTTGGGAGTTAAAGAATTAATTGATAAAGAGACGCCTCTCTATCTATAGGTAATGCATTTTTTTTGTTGAGAAAAGTAACAGACCAAATGATACAACAGAGATAGGAAATGCTGAAAAAAGAAATATGAAGAGTCAGTGACAATATGGCAATTAAATAGATAAATAAATGATTGAATAAATATGTAAGAAAGTCATTGTTAAACTAGAAATTATAATAGGTGAAATGAATAAAAATAGTTTTATTATATAGTCATTATTGCACTTTAATGGAAAGTTGGTCAAAAGCTAAACCCTTTAACTCTCCAGATCTTATTGTTAATTCTCCCTTCTAGCTGCTATGCATTCTCTTGTAAATGAGTTATGAGAATTTGGTGTTAGATCAAGATAACAACTACCTGATAAGTTTGAGTATTCTCATTACCTGTTGGCTGGATGAGGTCAGGATATTATAGGGAGAAGTTACATGTGAATCACTTCTGGGAGTTAAAGGGTAAAAACAAAAGTAAAATTCTCAGTGTAGCACCCAAAATCCTGGATAAATATACGAAGACAGATTCTGTGGATTAATGCTTCCCCTCGTTCCCGTGTGGGCTAACGGTGAAGTTGCACTTCTCTCTTCCTTGGTTCATTGAAGTTACAACTTCACGGGTTCCTGCGATTATGTGCATTGAAAATTCCCATGCACGACTGAACTTTACGACGAGTAACTGAATTGTCCACTTTATTACATTGTAAAGCAAATCCAACTAATTTGAAAATCTTGAAGTGTACCAAATATGACAAAAATGTTTAGAAACGCCAAGGGCTGTACCAGCAATAAATAAAACACACATAACGTCCTCTTTTTCCACATGAAATTATGTGCTGTCAATTTAGAATGTAAAAAGTGCCCCACATTGTTAAACTGTGGGAAGAAAAATATTCAGGCACAAAGATCAAATCTTCAGTCTAGTTGTAATTAAACGAGTTCCATGGTTGCTTATAATTCTTATGAGGGCGACGCCGGTTTCCACGACTTTTTGGAGTAGTAGGTTGCCATCTGAGGCAGCGGACCGACTCAGTTTTAGACAAGCCAAACATTTTTGGCTCCGTCTAATAAAGCTTTAGGGAAGTAAAGGAGAAGCTATGAAGAAGATGCTGCAGATACATGATCACGTACGAAGGTAGACTCTGTTTCTGTTGAATTGCTGTCAATCTTTGACTCCATAAGATCAAGATCAGTTCAAAATGGTCCATTTCCACTGTTTAAGTTGGATTTGGGACAGAGTTCTTGAAAAGGTAAAATAACAATGAAAAGCGATTGAAGAACGGCTAGAGCAAAAGTCAAACCTGATGTAAATGCTCCATCAATGCAGATGTCCTCAGAGAAAAAACATTAGGGTCAACACAGAAAAAAACAGCATCATCATTCCTTCGAGCAAAGCTGTTGATGAAGACTTGTCTTTCTCCTTTAACTTCTTGGGCATGGTAGTTTCTTTGACCTTGAAAAAGTAATGGATAATTCGGACTTCTTCTATTAACGTGGCGGAAACGTTATTTTGGTGGAGAGGCTAAGAGAATTATTTTTGAATCGCGTAACTCTGACGAAAGTTTTTAGAAGTTAGAAAAGAGGTATATTTAGTTACCAAAACTTGTGCAAATGTTTATCCTAAACTGGACAGGTGTGACATGAATTATCAATCCATGTTTTCATTTTTGTTTACGTTAAATCACCTAATAAACTTCAAGAAGATCTTAAATTCTCCATCATCACCAAAAAGTAAAGAAAAGCTCTATCTTTTAAGTGTCCGATTTGCTGCTTCCAATTTGTCTAGCGGGAATTTTTCAGCGTGAGTTACGTACAAGGATATTAAGTTAAAGTTTTTTAAGGCACCGTTTCTAAAAACAAGCAGGTTATTGTAAGCAAACTGGCTGTTTACTTTTCTGGTGGAATGGGAAAGAATAGGCGTACCGTAAATTTGGAAGGGAAGAGAGGAAACCCAAAAAAATTCATTTAGCTCGAATTTCCCTGGCTTGTTCTAAATTAATTTTATGAACAAAGCCGTCTTTAACCGATTAGCTCTCAAGATCGGGCTCGCGATTCTCCCCTCTAGCCTCCATTAATTTATTCTTAAGTTAATGGGGAGAATTTGATAATATATCAATTTATTATGTCGCTCAGTTGGTACGTGCGCTATGATTGGTCAATATTTGGCGGGCCGTATTGCACTGTACCGCCCGTCAGATTCAAAAGTTTGTTTGAATGGAAATCTTCCCCGTCTATTTGAACACACACACATACATATATAAGAAATCTTGCTAAACTCTTTTCCTCGGTCGGTAATTCAAGTTCCAGAACCTTGCTTTTTTCCGCTCAGATTTATGGCTCGCACGCTTCACGCCTTAGCCATAAATCTGCGCAAAAAACACAGGGTTCCGTAACTTACAGTGCGGAGCTCAATCTTGGTTTGTAAGAGGTATGTAACACGCTCCCTTCTGGCTGATAAACTCACTCACTAGTGTCACAGCACTGACGAGGGCCTGGGTGCAGGCTTATGGAGGGTTTCCAGGTTTATGTCTATCCACTAAAGTATTAAAATCATTCTACATTTAATGGTTTACTTGCACAAGATTTCTCCCTATTTACAAGAGATCTTAAATCTTAAGAAAATAAAGTAAAAAAAAAACTGCTCCTTAAGTGAACCATTTCGAACATGTTATGCAATCCCGCGTGTGAACAATGCTCCACCAATGTTTATTTGGGTAAATTATTTCCATTGAAGCCAGCATATTCTGTATCTCCTTCAGTTGCCAAGGGAAGCCACTTCTCCGAAATCCACACTTGCCAAGTTACTAAACTGAGTCGTTTCGATCCAGGAAAGCCATCGTCTTGGCCAAAGAGAGTCCTTTGGCATAGCGCATTTCTAACGTTCCCAAAATAAGTTACTGACATACGGCAATAGAAAAAAGTGACGTAGTCCAGTACGGAAAAATTGTCCTCATAAAGTTCTTGTGGAACCAGCCAGTGAACCTGCGTTGTTGATAAATCAGCCAAAACTTCGATCGTCACAGAATGAGAAGAAACGCAATAGTTGTAAATACTAAAATCATGATAGCTTCAAGCACCGCAGATGAGGGAGAATCGCCCCTCTTTTCCTTCAGTTTCTTGATCATTTTAATGTTTTGAAAATGCAAGCTGCTTGGTTAGCACACGGCTCTATTACCTCTTATAAAACAACACCTTGAAACTCATAAATTTTTTAATTGATTTTTAACGCCAGGAGGTAGATCCAATTAAAATTTCATCTCTCTTGGATACAGTGCAAAAGTTTGTTTTGAGAATCATTTCTGTTACTTGAAAAAAGGGACACGAGAAAAATGTTTTTTTTACTGGCCTGTTTTAGGAGTTCAGTTAGTAGAACGAGGCGCGTTAGAAAGCGGCGCAAATTAAGTGGCAGAGAAGTTAAAGGACGAGCAAGGCTTGGGTCGGGTTGCGTTACGAACGCTTTATGAACGCGAACCAAACATCTCTCGTTTTCTACCCCTCCCCTACTACCGCGCCGTTTATTTTTTCGTTTTACTGAACACCTAAACAGACTCTATATCTACCTTTTGAAACTATTTCGTATCTTTTTCGTTAAAATTCATTTACATATTTGGAAAAAAAATATCAAAACGTATTTAATTATCTGCCACTCGTGAATAGAACAACCTGCAGTTGCCCATTTGAAAAGTTTCCAGTTACAATAACACTGAAATTCCTGAGATCTGACTTGTAATTCTCCCTTCTTGCCCCTAGACATTTCTGGCGTAAATAAGAAGGGAAAGTTTTACGTTTTATTACGATAACACCCCACACTTAAAGATTTGTGTTTTTGTGTTAAGCTATTTGCTAGGTGATCTGTTGAAATTGTAAGATGTTATATGTTAATCGCTTCTTAATGACCGCCTTGATTAGTCCTCTTCACTAGATTCTTGTGAAAAAATAAAGGAGCAAAAACAACGTTTGCGCCAGATTGAAATCTGTTTCGCCCTCTCATTCGCTTGAGTTCAAATCCATCCCGAATTGTTGTGAAGAGGAGAACGTTTATCTGACTTTGGGAAAACTTTCACAACTACACCGAACACAATTTGACACAACCTTGATCATAGGGGTTAGTAAATTTTGCTTCTTCTTGCGAATTCTACTCCTTCCGGCCAAAACCAGAGATGTTTGATGAACAGTTTAAAGTGAAATATATACATTTGCACTTCAGCGATATTCAACATTGTAAAGGAGAGTGAAAAGGAAATAAAAACCTTAGAGGTTTTAGAAGAAATTTTTTTCACGAATTTTCCAACAAATTTTGATCCAACTTGCAAGTTCCAAGGAAGAGAAAATGCCTCCCATGGTAAAACACAAACATAAAAGAAAAAAAGAACAAAAGAAGGAATTCATTGCTTCAATTTACTACAATAACAATCACATACAAGCCTCGGACTAAATGAAATAGCCATACCAACACTAAACTAATATCTATTTAAAGTATAGAAATTTATATGTTTTTCCAACTATACAAAAATAACTACCCATTTTACCCTTGGGGTAAAGATTATTAGAAAATTTTTTATACTACAGCATTTTATCGGTTCATAATCCCCCGGATATGTCAATATTGGAACATCTTGCGTTGCAGTTACAAAAATCTGCCAATATATATAGAAACTTTGGTATTTATCAAATACTTAACTATCATGATGCTGATGAATAACCTCATTCTGTATGTATAAATTGCGTTACGAATTCTACAATAAAATGAGTCATAGCCATTTCCAAACGAAACGTCTTATGACAGGAAGAAACATTTTAAGATTAAAAAAAGAGAGGATAGACACGTTTCAAACGGTCGAAGACAAGATAAGCGACCTTTAACCCCTTCACCTTTACATCAGTATCAAAATTCCTCATACTCTTTTCCATACGTTTCCTTTGTTACTAACAAGGAGAATTTGTTTAGTGATCAAAGCCTCTTACGCTGACGATCATTTTCGAGCCCCTTTACTCTCAGGATCATAATTAATGATCAGCAGTGTTATTGTGAGGAGAAATTAGATTCTGGTCATTCATGGGATTTCAAGAGTTAAACTGCCATAGGTAAGATGCATGCGTATTAAACTTTCAGCGATAAGTGAAAGTATTCTAAGACGTCTGTAAAGAGAAACAGTTGGTCACATCCTGCGAAGATTCATCAGAAAAGTAATTTCGCAGTTACAAAAACTAGTAGTTAACAAAAATTAAATACAAATTAAATACTCGTTATAAATACTCCACTAAATTAAACAAGACTCAAAGGGTTAGCATGTCATTTTGAAAAAAAAAAATTGCATAAAAATTAACCGCTTTAAAAAGGTCAACATACCAAGCTATACTAAATATGTATTTTGATTAGATACAAATTTGAACAGCTACAAAAAGTAACAAGCAGGATTTACTGAGTAAACAACGAAGAAATTCCCCTTAACGAACTTAAACGCAGTTGAAATAGTGTAAGGTTATGGTCTCACCACAAAAATGCAGCCACAAGTTACCTGTGTGGCGGCCTCTTTAAATTTTATGAACATCAGGCAACTATAATTAGGATAATGACGCCTGGTTACTAAGTAGATTTGAAGTTACGTCGCTCAATGACGTCAAATTTTACGAAGTCAAAAAATGATGGGTCACCTATGAAGTGGGGCTGTCTAAACGCCGTTGTTTCATCCTGAACATAAGTGGCAAAACCACACCCGACCCAGTGCGAGCGTTAGATTGGGCAGACTGAGCTGATGTCACACCACACAAATGACAGTAAAGTGAGATTACACTATATAAGGAAAGGACTTTTGAATCTGGTTACTTCTTCCCACCCATTTTCTCGAACATTGATTTCATCGCAGAAGTCCGCTGTTGACGCTTTTCCTAGAGGGCAAAAAAGACGCGAGTTACGATAACGTTACCAAAAATTTTGAATCAGAGAGGTCACTTATATGGCTTTTAAACAGCATTCCACTGACTGAACCCAGAAAACAGCTTTTTCCATCTCAGAGGACACTTCACCCTTAGCCATTTATGCATTCACACTGGGATAAATACACCTCAATGACCCAGGCCTGGTGAACTGGGCTTAAGCCCGTCACTTTAATTACTTTGAACAGTATACCAGAGAATAACAACTGACTTGCAAACGAACAATTCAGCAGCACCTAATTTGACGTCATTAATGAGAGTGGAGTGAAAATCAGTTCAAAAATACAATAAAGCACCCTTGCCGCGAGGGATTGAACCCGAACTGCTCGGTCTTGAGTCCAATGCGCAAACCATCGTTTCATTTTAAGTCTTAATTTCCTTACAAACAGCTCAACTTAGTTGAAGAAATACCAACCTTTTCCTCTTTTGCTTTCCTCTTTTTCTCCATTTCTTCCTCCATTTTCCGCTGAAGATCACGAAGAGAAAAGCGAAAAATTGATATACTTTACACCACCAAACAAAGCCGATTTTCTATTTAAATTTTCATCTCTGCCTTCCGTGTAACTCTTTCATCTACAGCCAATAAGATATTTTATTCTCTTTTAATTATTTATTTTCCTCTGTTTTTTCTTTTTCCAAACAAAAGGCATCCCACGAAAAGTCTGGCGGAATATCCACTCAAATCAGAAAATTGAAAACTGGTGTCAGTTTGGAGGAGTAAGTGCTTCGTGTCAAGACCCATCTCACAAGGAGAAAGCTGCTAAGAGGCTGATAGAAAATTTTTTGTCAACTCATAGTAACTGAGTTACTGCAGAACCATCAGATGATTACACAAAAAGACAACAGAAAATATTGAACTGAGTGAAATTTCCTTAACCGACCTGCTGCTCGGATTTATTGGCTTCCTCTTTCTGTTTTATTTCTAACTTGACCCTTTCTCTTTCTTTCTGTAATTCCTCCTCTCTTCGTCTTTCTTCTTCTCTTTCCATCTGCCACAAAAAGGTTTCATCATTCAACAATATCATTTGTTAAAACTGAGAACTTGCTCAGTGCTGGTGCATCCAGCTTGATCAATAGCAGAGAACAGCAAGTGTTAACAACAGAACCTGCATCTCATTACAGTGAAAAGATTAAAGGGGCAACTCTCACTTGATTTTTGGAAGCAAACTCTAGTGCTCAGGGGATGAAGAACCCAGTCCTTCTCGGAAGCTTCTTATTCTTCTGAATGTTTTATTTTTCGCCCTGTGTAATCTTATGAATAATATGAAGATTGGAAAAAACACGTTCCTAGGAAAAGAGCACCTGCATGTCCAAATCTCTGTTGTTGTTGTTGTTTTTTTTTACACAAGAGCTGACAATTCCTTACCTCGATCCTGCTTTTCCTTACTTCCTTCTTATTGCTGAGACGCAAAAGAGAAAAGAAAAATGTTATAAAGAATGGAAGGAAGGAGTGATGGAGTGAATTTTGGGTCAAAACAACAACTCGGATATGCCTTTCAGCCAATTTCCGAGTTAAAAATGAGTGGTGGATTGTTATAGCAAATCCCGGCCAAAGCGACAAGGAGTTCAATTACGCATAACTGTAATTTACAGCAGCGCGTTTTGAGAGCGCGGAACAGAATGGCCCGAAGCCAAACCAGTTTCAGTGGAACAAAAGTAGCCTGGCTAAAATTGGAGCCTCGCCATAAAAGAAGCGCAAGGAAAGAACACTTCGCGGTACTTACACTGCTTCGTTTCCTTCTTGCGACTGTAACATATTCTCCCAATGCGTTGCCATGGAGTGAGTAAGGGAGTCTCGGTTTGTTGGTTTTTTAACCTGTTAGAAGACGATAAAAAAATAGAGTTTAAGAACGAATAACACCGACATCGGATGGCCCTTACCGGTGCTTTCGAAAAAAAGCCAGTTACCGCTGGTAACCCATCACTGCCGTCTGTATAGCCTCCGAGCAAGCTCTCGTGTGACAATTTCGCCTTAACCCTATAAACCCTAAGAGTGACCAGCATCTAATTTCTTCCCACAATATCGCCCCTGAATCACACATCAAGGTCATGAAAATAAAGGAAATGATCACCAACGAGAGAAGCATTTGATGGGTAAACAAATTCTCCTTGACAGCAGCTTAGGAAATGTATAAAGAACAGTATGGAGAATATGCATACTGATGTTAGGGTGTGAAGGGTTAAGGTACAGCCTCCTATTACGCCATCGGCAGCCGCTTATGGACAACGTTAAAGAAACCCCAGCTTTATCTCTTATCTATAATGACACAGGACGTGTTTCGAGTTTCTCACCTGTATTTTGTTTGGAAGTGGATTTCTCTTGATATCCTTTAAGCTCAAATCTTTCTTATCACTGGCTACTTCGACAACTTTCTTTTTCCCTTCTTCGAGTCGATGCCTTTTCTCTGCTTCTGATGTCTCTTTCTTTACAATTTCTTCACGCATCCGCTGTTCCTCCAGCTCTCTTTGTATCCTCGAATCAGAAAATGTAGGGATACCATCCGCGCTGTCGGTATCATCTTTAACAAAAGAAACCCTTCGTAGGACAACAGGGACCGCCTTTTTATCCTCGTTTTGTCCCTTTTTCATTGACAAATCTCCAACACTTTTCGCTTTAGTAAGTTTCCCTTCATTCGAAGGAACTTTCCATCCAACTCGCCGCAACAGTTCTTCCTCTCTTTCTATCTGCGCCCGCGTTCCCTTATCGAATACGTCATCAGCGTATTTCTTACCAACAGATCCCGGATGCTTACTTTTCACGGAAGCGTCTGTAGACGAGGTGATTGGCTGACGAAACTGGTCAAGATTGAGCGAATATCGCTTCTTTCGCAACTCCTCATTGGAATCCTTCCTGGTAGCTGCGTTTTCAAAGTTCGCCTTTCTTAGTTTTACTCCAACACTGGCAGAGTCGTCGTTACCTTCTGCTGGAGGAGAGGGTTCATCCAGATCCAATCCTTCTGTAAGGCGTTCACAGTTCGAAGCGCGTCTTCTGGGAACGGTGGCTTCTTGTTTACTTTCTTCCAATGCTTTTAAAACGCGCTGTTCTAAGATCAATTTATGCGCAGCAAACGCCGTCCTCCTGGTTTCTGATTGATTTTCCTGCAATTTTTGTCTTTCCATTTTGTCTTTCTGGCGTTCTTCGGCTTTTCTACGTTCTTCCTCACGCTGCTTTTTCTTCTCTTCTTCTTTTTCTAGCTTCACACGCATCATCTCCTCAGCTTCTTTGCGGTCGACCTCTTTCCTTATCCTTTCAAGATCAGCTTTTTGTGCTTCTCGCCTTTTCTTTTCTTGCTCCTGCATCTGCCGAAAAAGTTCCTTCTCTTCCTCGCGTTTCCGTCGTTTTTCCTCTTCTTCCACGTTTCGTTGCGTTTCTCCCATCTCTGTCCCATTTTCGGCTGCTTGTTTAGCATCAAGCTGGTCGACTGGAGGCGACTCAATAATTTGTGTGTTCGTTTGCTGAACAACTGCCTCTATCTCCGTCTGTTTCTTCGTTGAGGTCGTTTTTCCATCGACTCCGTTAGACTCGGGGTGATACTCTTTCGTTTTCGCGACTTCCTCGCGCAACACTTCAACATCCTTACTGCCACCTTCCATCTGCTTCTTCAAATGAATTTTACGGGCAATTTCTGCTTCTCTCCGAAGTTCTTCTTCTCTCTCCTTCTGCCGCTCTATGTCTAACTCAACAAAACTCTTACGATTTTCAGCCTTTCGCGTCGTCGTCACCTTTCCGTTTTCCTTAGCCCTGCGAACAACCGGCTGTGGTTGGGGTTGAGACTGCTCTTGTGGCTGGCGGTGTGTTTGCAACAACTCCTGAGAAGGTCTATTCTCAAGAGGTCGTTTCTTAACCTCATTATGAACAATGTCATCGCCTGCACTCAAATCAATGACACTACCGCGTTTGGACGAGATCCTTAGCCCTTGTGTATCACTGCCATCGATTACATCCTTTCTTTCATCGAATATTGGTTTTTGCACGAGATCCTTGTTGTGAAAAGCCAAAGGATGCTCTTCCTTTTTGGCATGCTTCGATTTCTGCTTTTCTACCTCAAGCCTTTCTTTTTCCTTAATTTTTTCGTTTTCTATCCGCATCAACTCCTCGCGTACTCTTTGCTGTTCCAGCTCTTCCTCGATCATTCTCCCTGCTTCTGTTCTTGACAGGGGAGCTTTCTTCGGTTCCTGTTTTTCTTGCGCCAATGCAGTTTGCTTTTCAAGTCTCTGTCTCTCTTCCTCAAACTTTGCCTTTCTTTGCTCTGCCATCTTTTTGTTCTCCTCCTTCTGTTTATCGAGCTCTTCACGAACTTTCCTGCGCATTTCATTATCTATCTCTCTCTGTTTAGCTCTTTCTTCATCTTTTCTCTTTTTCTCTTCCATAACGTAGGGAATAAGTTCATCTTGCGTCAAACTACGCGGCGAAGTTCCTTCTCCGTTACTCATTTGAATATCTTTCTCGTTTCTGAAAAGAAAAAAACATCCATATAACATCAGTATTTATAACTTGAGCAGTTGTCCCCGCCTACCCCCGCCCACCTTACATGGTCTCGTAAAATCTTAAAACAGCTACTTTGCGATTTAGTTTCTTTCACCCTTTCACTTTCAGCAATGACTAATACGTAATTTCTCGGGCGTCATTAGCTCCATTGCACGTTTCACTAAAAATAGAGTGACTACCAAGGATTGTACCTGATTAGGTTTCCATCGTCCTCTTCTAGCTTTAAAAGCAAGCCATCCATTCTAGATGCGGCCGATGACTCAGCTGAAGGTGCTGTGACAACATCAATCGTTTCCTCTAAAGGGGCTTGAAAAGAACCTTGTGTTGCTGGTTTGCTTTTTAACCCTCCAGCATCGTACCTTAATGCCTCTTTTTCACTGTCCGTCGTACAAATGCCATTTTGTGTTGCCATTCTTAACGCCCCTGTCTTTTCATCGTCTGTTCTGTTTTCATTCATTGTGTTTTTCTCACTACTGCTGTCTGCAATGGTGCTCGAGTATAATTCTTCTTGTTGTGTTAATTCTGAGGCGTTGCCACCGTTTACAGTGGGCTGTAGATTGCTTGGTGACGAGTCGCTGATTATCAAGTTCTCCTGTTTGTCCTTTAAAGAGAAATAATAATGTGAGGCTCAAGAATTTTTAAACAGTTGGAATATGAACTCGAAATTTTTATTGCTTAACAACAAGATAAGCGCATAAGCAACCCACTTTACTCAGAGTCTATCATGGAATAAATAGCAAATAGCATAGCCAATCAGATTGCAGCATTTGCGATAGGACGCCATTAGATTTACACCGACTTGATGCGGTCTTAAATTTGATTTCTTAACCCTTTAACTCCCAATATCTGATTGTTAATTCTCACCTCTAGCTGCTACACATTTCCTTGTAAATTGGTTACGAGAATTTGGTGTTTAATCAAGATAATATCTTGTACCTGATAAGTTTGAGTATTCCCACTACCTGTTTACTGGATAATGTATGGATATTATAGGGAGAATTTACATGTTAATCACTTCTGGGAGTTAAAGGGTTAAACGCGCTGTAGTTTTGCGAGAACTGTGGCCAATTCAGTCCTCAAGAAAAAGCATGCAACTTCTATGGATCATTCTTATTGGCTATGTAAGAACTTAGTAAAGATGTTTCTGATTGGCCGCGAAGACACCTTGTGTTGATGACTCTGGCTGACTGCGAACGTAAGGAGGTACTCATGAACTTCGTTGCCGGAAGCCCGAAGAGTTCGCTTTTTATCGCATCTTTCCCCACAAATCAAGAAGTCAACCCTTGATCACTGACTTCTTTTAGTTTTATTACTATTGAAATCACCGAGTTCTGGTAATAAATATCGCAAAAACTTACACCGATCGCTCTCGCTCTTGACTTCTATTAAATTTGATACCTGACTGACTCTCGAGAACGAAATCTGTCAATGCAGATTAACTCTCTTATCACAAATAGATTCTCAGCAATTGCTATGCCAATATCAGCTTTGTTGACATTTATCAAAATAGCCGCATCCAGCAATCGTGGTGTGTGTTCATTGTTCTCACGCAAGAAAAAGAGTATACCAATCAGTTTTATTTTTTCAGTTTCATACGGAAAGAAAAATTTAAGCGGGTTCAAAGTGGCTTAAAACGACTCATGACAAAATCCTTATCGAATACATATATCGACCGTGTGCGAAGGATATTAGATAAAATGTAAAAATACAGAAGAGCACTTAATTGTACATGTCTTGTTTTTACGTAGAACGCAATAATAGTATTGAGGAACTCGATATAAACATCCTTTATTATATTTAGCGCTTAACCCTTCGTGAATCGTTCTGACAGAGGGCTAACGCTCGAAACGACTGATTTAGAAACTCTAAACGGTGTTCTTATTATATCATTAAGTCAGTTGATAACACCAAACTTCCCTTTAAGAACCCCCAGCGACGCAGCACCACAGTTTCTCTAGAAACTTACCCCCCTTAATTCATTTATCATAATTAGCCTTTCTGGAACTCTGAACGGCAATGGGATGATTGCGAAATTCGTATCAAACTTGCAATATATGAGACGCAAGCTCACGCGTGTACGGACGTCAACGATGGTTTACATCAACCCGCAAGCAGCGATATTGCCTATTTGTTAAACCTCCTACAAGCTGAAAGTCTTTCCAAATATCCTTTACATTGCCGAATTCTGTGGGAACTCTGATAAATTGCAGCAAAAAGTGACATGGCGAAAGAGTGAAATTCTTCGCGCGTCAAAACAAAAAAGAAATAAACTGGCTACTTGCATTGGTTTCAACTATTTTACTCTACCCACAGTAAAGTTTACTTACCTTGTCAACATGTGAAAGACCTTTCTTTTCCACTGTTTTATCACCTTCCTCTTCCCTCTCTTCGTTTCTCGCCTCAAGGTCGGTTTTATTCTTGCTATCTTCGTTTTCGTTGTTATTGGAGTAAACAGATTGCAATCTCTCCGCATCTACGTTACTTTCGAAACCGTTGATGGCTGGAGACGTCGATTCAAGAGATGCTTTGGAGGAATCAGGGCTACAAGGCTGGTGGTTTTCGTTCAACTCGATCACAGTTCTCCCAGACTGATCCTGATGGATATTCGTGGGTGACGTAGGTATTGAGGGTTCTTCTGATATTGTGGCACCAAAATCTGTTGACATAACAAAAAAAACAAAAAGTTGCTCACAGACTATTTAAGGGAGGGAAAATTGTAATGCAACATTGTCACGCAGATACAGGCTACGGAGAAAAAAATCATGCCTCTCTCATGAGTAATTCTCCTTACTGTCTGCCGTACAATTCTTATGACGTTACTTTAGAGAATTTGATATTGGATCAACTACACTGATCTAATCCGCTAATTTCTATTTCGCTTTGTTCTCATCACTTTTCTACTTGAATTTGTCTCTATCTTGAGCGGAAAAAATTCCGTCTTGGTCACACATGGGAGTTTAAGTGTTAAAGAGTAACACGGAAAAAACACAAAAGAAACCTAGAAATACCAAAATAAGGACATTTATCGGTTAGACCTAGAGATGATTTAAATGAATTGTAGCAGCCAACAATTTTAATACACAAGGGCTCAGTTGTTTTAAGGATGGACAACGCTATCTAACGAATATATCGCTATCCAGCAGATAAGAGTTAACAAAACGTACTGCACTATCCTCCGAACAGAGATTTAGCGAGTGGATAGCATTTTCCCCCTTTGAAAAACCGAAAACATATGTTAAAACTTCAGATTCGGCTTCCCTAGCAAGTTTAACCTGCAGAACAGTCGGATTAGCGGAGCCGAAGCGATACACCGATTCACTAGCGCGCGCGAGGCAAATACAAAGTTGGAAGGGCCCTTGACATTGTTCCTCATGCGAACGTGAGCGTGTCAAAAAACCACAACAAGCCCCTCCGTTTTTAAAAAAACCACAAAAGGATAAATCTTACTAATTTTAACGATAAGTATACGACAAAGACGAACACATTCTATTTAATCAAATTCGTGCCCAAACGCCAAGCTTGGATGAACCACGACAAAAAAAAAAGTATTCAAGAGAACAAATCAATAACAACAAAACCGAACTCGATCCAGATTAATTTGCATAAATTCTCTGCCATCGTTACAAATTACCTCGAGTCAAATCGAGCGCCTTTTATACATTGCAACATTCGCTTGTAAAATACCCCGTCAAAATATTTATATTAACGCATTCGGTTTACATTGCTCATCATAACTTAAATATATAAACACCTGAAAGTAGTTGACAGATTTCTACCGGACAATAAATTGGTAAGATCGATTCGCTATTCGCAGTGTAAACAAGCAATTTTTTCAATTGAATGGATTTTACACTGACTCAAAGTTTCAAATTTATTCTTGCACCTGAATTGACACAATCAAATAAACTATTCTGGAGTAAAGTGATAATCCTAATATTTTGAAACTCCCTTTGAGAGAACACAGGTCAACAAAATGAATATTTGAAGAAAATTTAAAGTGATTTTAGCAACCGAACTAACTTTAAATAATTATGGGAAATAACGAGAAACAGATATACTACCGAGAAAGAATTCTGAAAATTAAAAAACTTCCATTTTCCTGACAATTATCGGAAATTCGGAAATTTCCAGAAGTTTACAAACAAAGATAGGTGGATTACAACGGCGTGAAGTGTACTCTATTTAATGGTGACTGAACATGTCACAAAAGTAGGTTAATGGATTATTCTAGCAATTTGGGGGAAATTTTGGAAATAAATTTACTAGAAAGCGAGTGTCATATTTCGGTTTTCAATACTCATGTTAACAGATTCCGTTTCGATTTGAAATTGTGTAGAAAATTATGAAAAATGGAAAACGACATTTCTGTTTTGCAAAGACGAGGTTCTAATTACTCAAAGTACATATATAAAACCGCAAATATGCGTTACAAAATACAGACGTGCTTGTTCTTAGGGTAAACCTTTGCTTTTCGCTTTCACGAACGCGCAGTGCTAAAATTAATATTTTTAAGACTTTCGAAGTTACAATCAGGAAGAGTACTTCTATGGCTGTGGAAAGTTATGCTTTTAAATACAGCTAATTAACGAATAGAACTTCGTCAAAATGGCTACCCGTATGTGTTTACTAAATCGATCGACTCTTTCAAGATTTTAAAATCGCATAACCAAATGATTTTTTTAACATTTTGACGACTACAGAGATTTTTAAATTGGGAAACTTATAATTAGAGGGATTAAGAAAAATAGTTTTTACTTGACAGTCACGCAAATGAACTACAAAAGAGGTCTTACCTTTCAGGTCGCCATCTTCTCTCCACAGAGTTAGTATTTCTTCATCTTCTCTGCCTCCAACAGGTACTCTATGATTCTTGTAGGCCCCACGGAAAATATCTTTACCAGTTGGTTGACGTTTGAGCAGAAAACTTCGGTCAAACGGCTTAAAGCTCTCTCGCTTCGATTTGTCTTTGAGTTTTTGCAGCGCCTGCAGGAAAATGCAAATTAGTGTGCGCTCAGAGAGATGCTAATGTGGTATGTTGTCAGGTACGCTTCGGCACTCAAGCGTTGCTCACTACATGGAGAGAGAATGTAAACAATACTCAACTTCAAACAAACCGAAAAAAACAAAACTTCCGATTAAAAAGAGCATGTTCTAGTATTTTCAAGAGTTCACAACAACTCCATTTCAGCTCGTAAGTATAATGGATTCATGCAAATTATTAGAAACTTGCTGTTTCTTAATAACTTACAAGGTATTAACAGATTAGCCATCACTCTGACCTGTCATCGAAAATTCATTAAATCTGTCCCAAGACGGCCCACCGAAAAAAAAAAAAAAAAAAAAAAAAAAAAGACAACGTGGGAGACTCTTTAGTTGTTATTTTTGCTAATTTTGAATCCTAAACAGCGATCGTTAAGATTGTCATAACTCATACTGTGCAGAAACGATTCTCATCCATTGGCTTTGGCTGAATGCGTGCCAGCTTAGCTTTTTCACTACCGATATCTGATTATTATTTCTCCCTTCATGTTGTTGAACAGTTATTTGTAGTTTAGTTATGATAATTTAGTGCTGTATTAAGATAACACCCTACAGCAGATACGTTTAGATTTTCTCACCACCTGTTTTGGGATGACGTATCGAAATTAAGAGAAGTTACAAGTTTTTCACAACCGCGGGTTGAAAGCTAGACGAATCAAAAACGATTACATGCAGTCTTTCATACACTTCAAGTTCACTATCAATCCCAAACTCGCTAACTAAAACAAGTTTATCAATTTGTTGCAGTTGGCAGGTAGAATATGTCAAGGCATGTACGGAGATGGGTGGACAAACTGTCGGATCAAAACAACAAGAGTGACTTGGAGAAAAAGAAAATAAAAATTGTGCGTGAATTATGTGAAAAAACAAAACAAAACAAAACAAAATAAACATGTTTTTAAACAATAGAGTTTAGTTTTTGGGTGCATATCAAATTAATTTTCTCCTCCCAACCGATACGGTAAGTTGTTTGTTCCCAAGTTTTCCTCCTCAAAACATTCTTGGATTTTGCAAAACGTAGAATTTTTCCTACCTCTTTAGCGTTTGTCCATCTAAGTCGGCAAACTACATACGTTAAGTTTCTTTTTTAAAACGAAACAGCCTACGCCGACAGCGGAATATCTCTATAACTTTCTGTGGGTAGAGAAACTCATTTAAAAGGTGCAAGAATATCTCCAATGGTGTCCTCTCACCAAGATGTCTACAAACTAAAAGTTTATAAACTACTAATATTCTGTCTCCTATCAAATAAAACAATCGCCCGTCTTTTCAAAGCATGGGGATGTTCAGTGCACGCGCAGCGTCATTGTAATGTCCATTAAACCTGTTGTTTAGAAAGATGATCTTTGTCGTCGACATTCGGCATTGCAACCAACGTGCAGTGACCAAGTTCGCACTGTATAGAGTCGCAATACACGACAGTAAATACCTTTCAACAATTCTTTTTCAGTTAGAGTTTGCAATCACTTGACAGACTATCGCGTGATTACCGTGGGATCAACTATAAACTGCACATGGCGATGACCCACCGGTAGTGTGACGGATGCGGAGAATTATGAATGGCGGGAAATTAACGCTGAATGCGACAACCATGGGACACTAACAAGTCCCTAGCCCCATTTTCAACACTTCTAATTGGAAACACTCTCTACGACAACAAGAGATAATCTAGGGTATCAAGACTAACTATAAACAAACAATACCGAAAAACGAAATCTGCAAATCAAAGAAGACTGAGGGAAGTTTAAAACCTGAACGTCCAAGACTACTCAGTGATCGATAAGAAAAAGAAACAACTGAAATAAAGTCTGACCCGTCTCAGCTCATTTTCCTCCTTTTCCAAAACGTAAACTCGTCTTTCAACTTGATCCAGTTCGTCTTGTATCTTCTGGGCCATCACCTCTTCTTCTAAGTCACCGGCTATTTCGTGGCACAGTTTTTCCTGAAGCAGAAACGATATGGCGTTAAATGAAAACGAAATAAAAGATGTAGCAAGGAAACCTAACATAATTGACAAAAACTGTCCTTACACATGACGCTTTTCACAATGCTAACACCAGAACTTTGCAGGACGCTTGCCACGTATGAACTTGTAATGCTCTCTGAAGCTAAGCCTGCAGGCAGCCTCTTATTAGCTGCAAAACTAGGGGCAAGGCCTGCGCGTTTCGAGTCGACGAGTGATGAAAGCAACGTCCGCGAGGGTTCTGGCACAAAAGATTCTTAGCCAAATTCTCAGCGCTAAAAAATTATGAGAAATATAAGAGGAACTGTGTAGCAAAATGATATTTCGATCTTGGGAAAGAGAGCAATATGTACGTTCATACCTTTACTGAAAGGAGCTTCCTTTTTTCAGTTTGGACTTCGGCCAGTCTGCGACAAGGAAAAGCAAAGGTGACGGTTAGTTGACCACAGCTAATTGTTTCCTGCTTAAAATATCTATCTTAAGTTTCCTGCGTAAAAACCTCAATCTCTAAGTGGCTTGGTGAGAGCTGTAGAAGCTCTGCACAACAATATCATACATCGCTAATAAACACAAGTAGCTCTGCGGAAAGCTCTTGTATTTCATTTAAGCTGCTATTGCCCTTTCAAATTGATCTTCAGAAAAAATCGACAATGGCTTATCTAAAGAACCAGTTGGTGCTCCACGAATTGCAACGTAAATACGTTGATTTTGCAAGAGAAAATATGCCTCTAAGAAAAAACATGTCCGTGCAAAGGGGTATTACCAAATGCGTCAAATAGCCACTTAGTTTTCCGGGTTGCTTTTAACTAAGATTTCAAACCATAAAAATGCCAACTAACCGTAGTCTCTTGCTGTCATAACACTCCTCTGTCAGCTGCGCAAAAGAAAAATAATAAAAAGTCAATCAACAATTGATGGGTTTAAAGCCAGTTATAAGTTTTTCCACTTTAACCAGAAAAATCGACAATGAAAGAGTACTACACCATTTATTTACCTGTTCCGATAGAATTGATCTTACATTTACATTCCCCTCAATTGAGTTACCTACAGAAATAGATGAACAGTTACAGTGGTTATTTTCCAATACAAAACCTACTTTTCATTAATTTCTATCACGAAGTAAAAGGTTTGAACTTAGGAACAACTGTTAATAACCCTTTAACTCCTGTAAGTGTTTAACATGTAACCTCTCCCTATAATATCCATACATTACTCAGCAAACAGGTAATGAGAATCATCAAACATATCAGGCACAAGTTGTTACCTTGATATACCACAAAATTCTCTTAACTAATTTACAGGAAAGTTGTAGCAGCTAGAAGGGAGAATCAACAATCAGATCTTGGGAGCTAAAGAGTTAATCATGCTATCTGATGGATCAATGTGAGTATCAGACCAACTGTGCACCTACCCCTCCCCTAACATTAACCCTAAATTGTTATAAGTCAACTGCTGTTGAGTGAGGGGAGGGGTAGGTACACAGTTACCCAGATAGGATAAATGACAACTATACTATTTCCTTATCAGTGTATACATGTTTTGTTCATGATAGTAAATGGAAATTGTTTGTACCTTGCTTGCAGAATCGTGTTATATGCACCGCTATCAGAAATTCTTCAAGAGAGAGTTTTCCATCTCTATCAATGTCAGACAAATCCCTGTGAAATTAATAAATTTATTAGTGACAATTATCATTAGTAGATACTCAATTTAGATGTCAAAATTATTGAATTAATTCAGGCCTGCAATTGGTCTTATTGTCAAAGTGTGATTTTCTGGTCTGGTAGAGTAGAATGGATTTCATTACAAAGACTATGAATCTTAACCCTTTAACTCCCATGATTTCATTAGTAATTCTCCTTACTGTCTGCCAAACGTTTCTGATCATGTAAATTTGGAGAATTTGGTTTTGTATCAATTAGTAATCCCCTAATTGATATTTTTCTTTATTTGCATCACCTGTCTGCATGATATTGTATAGATATAGTATGGAGAAATTCTGTCTTGATCATTCACAGGAGTTAAAGGGTTAAATTGGCTTGATTTATGCAATAACCTTTTACAAACAAACATCACTATCAAGTATATTCTCTGTACTCCTCTCTATTGTAATTTTGTACTGACTAGGAGAATATGTCTAGTAATCAAAAATTCCTACGTTGGCGATCATTTCCCTATTCTCACAATCTTTATGAACAATTCAGCAGTTTTTCTGTAAGGAGAAATTAGATGCTGGTCACTCTTAGCCTTCAAGGGGTTAAAGGCAGTCACTAACAATTTTTTAGCCAAAATTGATCAACAATTCTCTTCCCTTCATCTAAAATATGTTTCATGAAAACATTTCCAAAATTTGTAACTAACAAGAAGTTATTAGTCTAATAAACTGACCAAATTCTTGCTAAAATGTCCTCAAGAAGGCCTGATCCAATAAGAACAGAACAAGCAGTTTCAGCTGCAATTTAAGAAAATATTATTAACTCCCAGTGGTAGATCAGATAAATTATTACATCAGAAACCAGAAAGTTGGAGAAAGTTTATTCTTCAAAAAAGCAAGAACTTTGACATGTTCATCAAATTTAAGGGATTCCAGAGATAAAATTTCTCACTATAATTCATTCTCACTATTGTAACCATAACATAACCATCAGTAAAATTAGGATTCATTCCTAAATCCAAAGAGTAACAATATAACTGTTGATTATTAAGCTATTGCCGCTGTAAAATAATAACTTTTGCTTGCAGGAAGAACATGCAGTATCGAACTCTGAATGTGCACAAATCTGTCAACCAGTTTGAAAAGGTCACTAAGCCAAAGCCTTGTGACAAATTGAAGATCCTCCAAAATACCCCTATATACCCAGATGGTATATCTTGGCCTTTGAAAATGGGAAATTAAATTTTTGCCCTGAGCCATGAGTACTCCTCAAGGAGAGGATGGCGAAGAGTGAAATATGACAAATAATTAAGCCAAAAATCAACATGCAACACTTCAATTTTACAGAAAGGGGAGGTAAGGTGAGATGTGAAGTTTTTCATTCAAATCGGTAACATTTGAAATACTGTTTGAGGTTCCTATGACACCTTAATTTTTCAAAAATTTGTCTGTGAAATGGGATCAGTACCCCCTTTACTACACTCTAAGCATAATACTAAATCAGTAAGAAAGAAAATGACAGAGATGGATTTGCTATCACAAGTCTCTTGCATCTCAGTGGTAATACATCAAAAGTACTCATGGGATGGGCATAAGTTCTTATTCCAATTGGGATCTCTCTGATTTTGTTTTACTGAGTACAATAGGAAACTGAGAATTGTATGAAATTCTTACATTCAAGCATCATCATTATGGGACAAGGAAAAAGTGTGAGTTGATCCTCACTGATGATTCTAATTTCGAGGCTTAACTGAGGGTGAGTGACAAGACAGAAAAATCAACCAGAAATTACAAAATTAGTTATTGTCTTAACATGTCTTACCATCAATATAACTTGTCTTATGGCCATTTTTCCACCTGAAAGCTCTTTCATAAGCTGCTTTTTCCTCCTCTGATATAAAAGGAATGCTTATATGAGGTAGATGCTTTGGACTTAGGGTCTCCGGCAGCTTGAGGGGAATATCTGTGCCTTTTAAACGACTCTGAATAAGATGCATTGCCACAGCAAACTCAGCAATGTCTAACTTGTTGTTCCGCGAAACATCTGCAAGTTTCCTAGAATAAATAAACAATTCAGATCAATGTCAGTATCTGAGCAACTGCCCACCTACCACTCCCCTAACTCAACATTAACCCTAACTTGTTATCAGTTGACTGTCGTTGAGTTAGGGGAGTGGTACGCAGTTGTTCAGATACTGGCATCCATCTGACAATTCAGCTATCTATCACAACAACTCAAAACTTTCCACAGATATGTGTTGTTGCTCAAAATGAACTTCTTCATTTCACGTCAATAATAAAACTTCTGCAACAACCTTCACCTGGAATGAATAACACAATTTGTTCACTGTTTTTTCATCTCAACTATGAGGACTATCCAGAAGTTTCAATAAAATTTTGTATATGAAGCTGCTGATAGTGTAACAGGGAGGGAGGGGGAGTGTGCAGAAAAAACTCAAATGCAAGAGCCTGTTCCCATGCTAAACAGATGGCAGGATGCCACTGTTAACCATTTAACCCCTAAGAATGACTAGCATCTAAATTCTCCTTACAATATCACCCCCCAAGTCACACATAAAGGTTACAAGAAAAAAAGGAAATAATCACCAACAATAGAAGCTTATGATTGTTAAACAAATTCTCCCTGTCAGCACCTTAGGAAATGTATTGAGAACAGTATGGAGAATATGTCTGCTGATGTTAGGATGCAAAGAGTTGACGAGTTTTTTTAATTAAAACTCCTGACTATTCCTTTTTCACAGCTTTCTCTCAGTGGAGGGGAAAAAAGTGAAAGACCCAATATAAACCAAGTTGAAAAAAAAAATAGAAAATAAACCATGTATGAAAATATTTTGATAAACATTTATTTAGGGTATCACAGAGAAAATAAACCATGCATGAAAATATTTTGATAAACATTTATTTGGGGTATCACATTAGAGCCAGAGTATGACATTTTAAAAACTTACAAAACGATATAAGATTAGTGGATCCACAGAACAAAAGGTATACAAAAATAGGACACTGAACAAGGGGCATTGTGTGTTTTGGTTTCATATCTAATTCAGAGTGTGTTTTTGGCTTTTTCTATTTAAATATTTGGTTTTCAATTTTGATTTTTGAGTACCATCATTTCAACTAAGTTTACCAGTAGTTCATCACTCTCAGTGATGTTTTAAGCAATGTTTATGTTTACTTCATGATGTATTTCAGGTCTTTGGTGCGCATCAATACCCCTTCCACTATGCCTAATCACATCTACCAAGAATGATCTGAGAAAAGTATGGAGCAGCATAGCATTCCTAGAAAGTAGTTAAGTAAATATTGAGGGGTAGTAGTGAAAGAGAGGTGGCCAGCAATGAAGGTGTTCCTGTGGTTGAAGAAGGTGTAAACAAAACTCTAACATATCTGAGGTCTACACATTTGATTTACATTCTGTTTAAAAAAAGTCCTGACTGTTTGTGTTATTGCCTTATACAATGCCAAACCATAAAGGTTACACTAATCATCATAAACGTCTAACAATGCAAGCTGCGTCTGAATAGATGTCACTGTAGATTTTCCTCCATATCAGCGGTAGGCAAACCTCTTAAGAAAATCTTGTCTGACCAAATCTAAATATTTTCCCACGATTTTTATGCTTCAGTGTCGTGTGAAATGGTGCATATAAAAACAGTGCTTAACCCGTTTATAATGCAAACCTATCTCCACTTATTTTTGCAATTTTGTTTCGTTTAGATAAAAACAGTTAAAACAGCTTGCGTCACCAGATTTTCCAACACATTCACCATTACAATGCCAGGCGATGCGTGTTGAATCTGGCTGTTACAGACAAAAACACAATAGAGTTGTAGCCGTGAAAGAAATAACAAAACCACGATTGTATTCAACACAAACCGTTGACGGTATTCTGTCGATTCCTAAAAATAAACACAGAAACTTCTGCTGCGCCAATTGCACCGATATCGCTGCTTGCTGTTACCAGGAAACACACAACAACGCTTAGAGTCCATCCTATATTGAAAGGGGATCCAACAACCGCAGTGGTTAATAAACACATTTGGTGACCCGGAGGAAAATTTAGCGCGAAGGAACGCGATAAATGAATTCCTTCGAAGCATACATCGATTATACTAAACAAAACAAAATTATACATATCCAAGTTTTCCTTACCATATTTTGCTCAGCTCTGGTAGAGGCAGTTTAGATCTTATAAATAAAGATCTGGCTTGCTCTCCTGCAATAACAAATATATTTGTACAATTGAGTGAAAAAGCGTACAACCACCTTAGCTCAAGGTATTCCTTGCGCTCACCTGATAGGTATCTATCTTGAGGTTTTTGGCTGTAAAACAAAGCATCATGGCGAGTTCTTTCCTCCTCTGATATCGTCCACTTTAAGTCCATCTCGGGCTGAAGAAGCGACCTGTAATTGAAAAGAATACCCTATTAACTTGTTCGGAGCTTTCATTCAAACGACCCCGAATCGCTACATTACTGATCAGACTTCGAACGACAGAACGCGTTGTGACTACAAAAATTCCAAAACGTTTGGATCACCTTATGAAGACTACGCATTAGTTAAATTAACAAATGTGGAAAATATATTTGTTTAAGGCTTCCCATGTTGACGAGATATTCTTCGGCCCGCCATGATCACTCTAATTTTGATGTCATGCCAAGTTTTTCTGCAGATGATCGTCACGGTGAGAACGCTTGATTAGGTTCCATGGGCGCGCGTTCATAATCCTCTCTATGGAAACCGCTTCAAAAATTTTTAAAATTATTTTCCCAGCACTTAACTTATTTTCCTTCGGAATTTTTTTCCCTTTTGAGAACTTTTCCCATAATTATTCTGCCATGGTTCTGTTTGGTCTTTATTTATCGTAATTCAATGTCTTGTAAATTGAAATATAACACCTGCTGAAAGCCTGTGTTTTTCAGACTTTCATCGTACTGTCAAATTCTTTAAACATAGAGAAGCATTCAGGCTCCAATCTCTTCATTAGGCTTCATCCATAATTTTCGCCATCGATTTAAGAATTACTCCTAAATTTCTATATATAATCAGCCTTACATTATCTTTCCTCGTTTGCTTTTATACATTACTAATTGCATTGTGTCCATTGTAGAATAAACTAAGAGCTGTGATCAGTCACTATGATCAATACCTACCAATGTAAGCTTAAAATCATCATTCTTTACACTGTTTAGGGTCCAACAATATTTCAGGTTAATGCAATGCTCTTGAAAATCAGACTAATAGGATCGCGGGAGGAGAGACTGGGGCTGAGTAATTACAATTTTGTCTACTAATAATGGTGGTTTTCTAATATAAAAATAAAAATAAAAAATTATCAGATTTTGATAAAAATTATCTTGTTTCGGTGACAGTTTGAGTAATCAGTAAGCTTAACTCTTGAAAACTTCAAACTGATAATCCTTCCAAAGTCCGTTGGCTCCCAACATAAATACCAGCTTTCCTTTGCTAAA